CTGCAATCCTACCAGGAACAATGCACTTTGTCGAGCCCTCGAGTGCGCATAAAATCGATCTGTGCAATCTTCCGGATACGGCACGCCTTCCGTCTCTGTGAAGTTGCCGCGCGCAAATCCGTATAGCCTGGTCGTTTAACGAGTTTATTCAACCGCGTTGTGTCCTATTGTCTCGATGGTTATCCGCCGCCGCATTGATATCCGGATAGGCCTTGGTGCACGTTGATATACATATATCTTGCGCGAATTAATTCCCAAATATCCGATACGAACCATTACAAGCAAGACAAACTCGTTATACGCAAACGAAAGAGTAACGCGTGTACAGACAACTAACATATATATTATTCAAACAAAATGTGTTATTATGGCATAATGACTCATTAAAAAAAATTGTATAAACCCTATACAACTATGTAGCAGAGTTGTCGAAACTACTCTATTTTCTCTGAATGTGCATAATTATAATATACATCTGACTTTTACACTTCTAATTACATAAATACTCCGTAATTATTTTGGCGTTTGAATCAAATAGCGTATCGCATTATTTAGAGCTGCGAATTTACATAATTGAAATCGAATATATCTAGATAGATTATTAATCGAAACGAGGTATAATATATGTGATATGCATTGTTTCGCGATAAGTGAGAAGCGATAAAAATGAGAAATGCCGTGTGTAATCCGACAATCGAGCCTCACTCACGGGCGATCACGTTTCGCGCTCTCGTCATCAGTCAAGAGTCTTCTGTGGCAAGCTCTTATGCAAATTGCACGGCGGTTCTTACAGATGCACACACGCGTGCGAATGCGCGTCTCACGGGCCAATTAGCGCGTTATCCGTTAGCGCATGGCAACATGTGTTTCTCGGCGGTGCGTCAACCCCGCCGGCGTCGTATCCCGGCGTGTCCTATACCCCGGAAAGGGAGAATATCGGCGCGATATCGGCGCGCGCAAATTCTCATACAGTCGACCTGCATACATATCGACGCTTTGGCGGCGCCGCGTGGCTGGAACTGCGCCGCAACGACGGTACACACTAGGTATACACGTGCAATCCTGAGCGATCTGTCCTGGCCGACGCGGCGCACTCTCTTCCGAGTGTCCGATTTGGAAATTTATGGGATACCCGATTTGCGCGCTTAACACACCACTCTATATGCGCCGCGCATCTCGATACATCGTTGCGCCGGCTGATTTGCGATCAAGATATTTGCGTTCCTTACACGCTCGCACTCTCCTTCATAGACGATTGGCCGAACAGATTATCGATTGCTCCCGTTCGCGGATTGGCAATAACTTATCCATAAAATGTTTTCCCCGTTTTTTTTACACGCAATGACGTACAACGACCGTATAATTTAATTATAGTTGCGTGACATGTCTATGCGGTGTGCTCGGTAATTATGTCGCAATTTAAATTTCAAAGGAGAAGTCGGCTCCCGAATTTGTCAAAGAATAAGCGTCCAGAATTTCACGTGGGACCGCTGCGTTTTCCTCTGTTCGCGATATGCATTTGCCCGCCGCGGAATTTTGTTTAAAGCGGCGCGGCGGGACGATGAAAGCGGTGGATTAATATTCTGCCTCGTAGAAATTCCAGTTATTTTCTCCGTTGCTCCCATCCCGATAACGACGCAGACAGTACGTCACTGATATCGCGCTGCTTCTGCTGATGGACGTTCGCCGTTTGGCAATCCATTTTCCGCGCATCTCTCCAATTTCATACGGAAACTTGTAATTATTTTCGACATCATAAGGCGCGGAACCTTTTCATTAAAGGGTTGTCTGGATAGGATAATTAAAAGTTTCGCGAGAAGCTTCGAAACGTTCGTTTGCAAAACGCAACGGGGTGTTCGAATTTCCCTCGTGTTCGTCCGTCGCAATTGTATTGACGCTGTTATTCTCAATTTATCGTGTTAAGAAAAATTATCCGAATAATTTGAGAAAAATTAAAGTTCCGCAAGTAATTGGAAGTGGAGCCGAAGCAGAAGTGCAGAATGCGATATTATCCGTTAATAAACGTGCGTAGCAATGAGAGGTAAATATCATATTCCTCTGTCAAACGTCTCCATTCCCGGAACATCAGTGTTGCATTTGTGCTACCTAAGCGCAGGCTGCATAGACGCTTTGTGCGTTTATATTTCCGTGTCTCGTGGGACTCGTTATGCGGCAAGAGCGTCCCGGACAACTAGTAAGAATGGCCACTTAATTAAGATGGATTTTAATTAAATTAAAGCCTTTAATTAAGTTGCATCAGTTAAATAGAATAAATCTTATCGTGACGTAAGCACTAATATAAATTACTTAGTTTCATGTAGAAAGAGAGAGAGAGAGAGAGAGAAAATGAGGGAAAAGAGGAGGAAGCGACAATCTTTTTCACAGCTTGCGCGCAATGCTAATTGTGTCGTTGTAATTAGTTTGCATTTTAAACGGTTAGATAGGAGGCTTCTGCCAGCTTTGTGACGAGAAGCGCGTGAACACGATTTTATAAAACTTTAAGTGCGTTTTCCGGTGCATGATCACTTTAATACGTGTATCCAAAGTCTCGGCGTTATTTTCAATTTATAACGGATTGGCTACCCGGCACCTTGTTGCTTTGCGAAAATATGATATAATAGCAC